TGTGTGTGGTTATTATCTTATGAAAGCATTTATGTATCTTTAATTCTTATGAATTTTTAAATATATATTTCATCACAAGTAGGCGTTCATATAGAGCTGTTCACATGAATATTGCGTTGAGTTATAAAATATGCTACGTTATATAATTATAGAAATGCGTTCACCATTCAGTTTCTTTATCCGCTTATTTTATTTACGCTGCATGGTGAAATTAACGCCAGAGGTCCTTTTCTTTGGAACATTCGAGCCTGTCCGTGCGGTCACATTAACAGCCGGCGTAACTGTTGGCCATAAAAAGCAAAAGACCGCAAAGCTGCGCAGAGATGCGCATTCTGACAAACGGAGATGGCGCATTCTGAGATTCAGATAGTCCGCCAACTGACACGAGCCTCAGACACAACCACCAATGTGTTCAGGCGGCGGCCAGCACGCGGGGAAGCATTTTAAGTAACCATTAGAAGGCCCGTTCACCCACGGTCTGCATAATGTCGCCAGCCGAAGGAGGGAGTAAGTGCGGCAAGGATATGCACGTGACAGATGTATTGGAGAGCAGGGGCTGTGGGCAGGAGGCATTATGCTAATGCGTCGCAGTGTAGTGAGCAGTTGGTAAAAATGTACTCATTGCCAAATTTGTTAATGTGTTAAGTGATGGTTACATGCGCACACTTGCCGAGCTACGATTATTAGTAGGCTAATAATCGTCAGTCGGGCCCCAACTACATTCTTTCTATAGTGACAAATATACGCTGCCAAGCTTGGTGGTGTTCATTCAGACGCTATCTTTCCAACAGACCTGTTCTTCACCTGAGGACGGCTGCTTGCGTTGTGGCCGAAACGTCGTGAGAATTATTTGATTATGTTTTATTTTTATTATTTTATTATTTTTATTCTACGTGACTTTACCGAAAGAACCAAGAAGATGATATAAAGACTCAAGAAATACCATTGCTGTCGGTGAGACAGGACACATGCATTGCAGCAGATGTATTCCTACATTTATTTGGAAGGCTGCGAAACATTTTTGGTTTGTAGAGGGCAGCATGGATTTTTTTGTGAAGTGGATTGGATGTAGCCATGTGTTTTGTCTCGGGGAAGGAGTGATACCTGAATAGCATGAAGTCAGGTCTCCTACAGTTTAAGCTTCAACCGGTTGAAGTCAGTGCTCTAAACCTCCAAACCAGGAGCACTTTGATTTTAAATGGCAATAAATGTGGGTCCACAATACAACCGCTGAGAAAAGACAATCAAAATGGTGAAATGCAGAACTTCTTCATGAAGATCAATACAACAATGCCATATGGATCATAAACACGAACAATTACAAAGAGAATGGAACAAAAGCTTAAATGTGTGCAAAGAAGCATGGGGAGATGCATGCTTGGGATTACACTGAGATATAAAAAGAAGAAAATTTGGATAAAAAAAATACTCAAGCTAGTGACGTAATATTGACTTTCGATTTAAAGCTTTCGTGGCTGCAGGGATTCATCTTCTTGGTTCTTTCGGTAAAGTCACGTAGAATGGAAATAATAAAATAATAAAAATAAAACATAATAAAATAATTCCCACGACGTTTCGGCCACAACGCAAGCAGCCGTCCTCAGGTGAAGAACAGGTCTGTCAGACTCTGTCTTCTCGACAGACCTGTTCTTCACCTGAGGACGGCTGCTTGCGTTGTGGTCGAAACGTCGTGAGAATTATTTTATTATGTCAGACTCTGTCTTCTCGACAAACCTGTTCTTCACCTGAGGACGGCTGCTTGCGTTGTGGCCGAAACGTCGTGAGAATTATTTTATTATATTTTATCTGTATTATTTTATTATTTCCATTCTACGTGACTTTACCGAAAGGACCAAGAAGATAACATTGACTGTTATAACAAGTGGGTTTGGCCAGGATACATTGCTTGAATAAATGGCAGCCGGCGGTCGAGATGAATGATGGAGTGGCAGCTAAAGGATTGAACACACACGAGAAGGATGTCCACTGTGGAGCTGGAGTGACGAGATGAGTCATTGTGCAGGAGCTAGATTATTGCATCGCGGGACTATGATGGATGGCGACAGTACGGGCAAGCCTTCATCCAGCAGTGAATGGAGAACATGATTGTTTTGATCATGATAATGTGATGAAGTACAGCTGTAATAACTTTCGTTACGATTGGCAAATGTTCACGATGTACTTCACTAACGAAGGCAATCATCAGTGTTTGGGTTTTGTTAAAGATTTAGGACTGGATGTTGGGATAGACTTGGAAAGGTTGACACCATCAGGGTTGTGCATATGGTGAATTGTTTGCAGCAGCCTCTGTTAGGAGGGAGGGAGGTGACATTGTCTATCCCAGCTGTGAAGTCTAAATGTTGTCTCCATGTTTTCTTGTATTCTTGTCTCCTCTCTTCGCAGCATTTTTAGATACGCTAGCATTTAAACACCGTACAATATTACTATTTTAAATCCTAATATCGTCGATACTTGCATTTGAATAGACTTTTGAAATTACTACTCTCTATTTAAATACAAATGAGTGCTGTTTTTCACACACCAAGAGCAAATATTGTATGGTTATTTATTAAAAACATTCAATCAACACCAGCGGGAGCAGCCATGGTCAATCCGTATCTGGTTTGTGAATGCCTCCCAAAGCCGCTGAAAATCATTGCATACTGTCTGCAAACCCAGCAATGATGTGCTAAAGCAGTAATAACTACTGGTTACCGCATGGCCTTCGTGTTTGAAATGTAATACTCAATGCAGATTGCTGAATATACATCTGTATTTAATTCTCAAAATACCGAGCGAATTCATGGGTGCAGTGTCCTCCTAGTATCTCCGAAATTCATAAAATATCACGGATTTATTGCCATTAAAACGCAGTATTAATATTACTGTACTTGACCCGGATTGCCTAGTACATGACCTGTCTGCTCAGTGTGGAGACACGGCTAATACAGGTTAGTATTGCTTTGCACGCTGGTAAAATTTGTGCACTTTGGGAAGTGCAATTTTACAATGTTCCATTCATAATCTTTATCGAGGTCCCCCCCACTCCCCCCGACTAAAAAACTCTGCCCACGTTATGTAGAGTATAATCTGTAATGCACATTGCAGCTGCAATGTGCATTACAGATTATAGCTGGTGAGCTGCACTGTGACAATCACTGGTAAGTTTAACACGTAGGCTTTCGCGACCAATATCACTGGTGTTGCCCATACAGACAAAGAGTCTCCGTATAGTCTTTAACAGACTGTTAGGTGAGCACCTATGAGTTCGGTGGGCAACACCACACCAGACGGCCTTTGTGTCCCCTGCGCTGATGTTACGCACTGCACCAGGTTCTCTATTTATTGCCGAGTCGATCTAGGGGAGACCCAGGACCAGTTCAAATATTCGCCACTGTTATTGGTCGTGAGCGGGAATCAAACTCAGATGGCAATGTGTGTATCGCAGTGCGCTAGCCACTACACTTGCCCACGCATTCATTACTGCGACACACATAACAATCGCTGGAATACAATACATCATTTGCAGCCTGACATATCTGGCATCACTGGAACGCACATTACTGGGAGGACACACATGCGTACATACAATAGTAATATACACACCCACGATTGGGGCGCATTCATATACATCACTGGAATGCACTTTGCACACACCATTGGAACACGCACGTTAGTAGAACGACCACGCAACATAAACTACACACGCCAGAATCACAGAGACACACCACGCACCAGAATTACACATGCTGACGTATGACTAACACAAAGCAAACTGTACAGGTATTTTTTCTATTGTCATTTTGCAAAGGTTCTCACCTCCCCCCCCCCAAACTAAGTGAAGCCACGTCCCGGCGGACTCTGACCCGGTGTAATTGCGGTGAATGGTCTTGGTACACGTGGGCGGCATGGGAGTCGCAAACGAACGCGCAGGTTGTTAATATTGACAACGCGCGCGCGCGGCAATAAAGACACGCGCACACGAGCCGCGTTGCTGCTGAAGCTTTCTCCCAGCGAGCGCCTTTCAATTCGCACGAGCCAAACACGAGCACACCCTTCAATCCACGCCAATATCGCAATGCCCGTATCAACAATGAATGGAGCCAAAGGGGGGGGGGGGGGGGAGAAAAGCAGTATCGCCATGTCCCGCTGCCGCTGTCCGTGGTGCTGAAGTCCCAAAGCGCGCACATATGCCTGCCTGCTCATCATACGCATGCATGCTCATCGGACGCATGCATGCAATACCCGTGCCAATTGCATAACCCTCGCGTACATACGCGGACCATTGAATTGGCTTAAATGCATTGGTGTAATCAGATAATGTATATGAAAGCACGAAAATACACAGAGACGGCATGCGCTTACAATACACTGTATGTAACACGTTCACGTTATATGCAGCACACACGTAACCGTGTGGACGTATATACTGTGGAACGCACGTAGTTACAGTATATAATGCGCATATATGATATGCGTATTCCTAAGCAAACATGCACACGATACGCGCATACGCAAGTATATGCATACGTAAATGCATATACTGTATACTCACACACAGGCACACGCTGCTGAAAGGTACGCACACACAAATCACTGGCCGCGTTGACTGCGCAATGCCTGCCCCGCATCGCACGAAGGCAATTAGAACGTTTGGATTTTGCGAGCGCTGCCTCCTCTCTCTCTCGTCGCACTGGACAGAGGTAGGACAGCGCCCACATTTTACCATTTAATTCCCGGGGCCCGAGGGAGGCTCTCTGATGAGACCATTTCCCCGGCGAAGTGGGCAATAAGGTAGGCAAAGCAGGAAAAGGTAATTGCCCACTTACTCACCTCCCCAAGCAAAGCCTCGACGCTTCGGCTGCTGATATCTGGTCAGTCCCACGAGGGTGGTGGCCTGTGACCATTGAATCTGGTAGCCGCACGCAATAGTGATGAAGCAAGCGAGAGCGAGAGATGGTGGAGGAGTAGGAGGTTGTGGCAAGAGAAGCCTCGCTTACCACCGATGCACATCGTCTCCAGGCTCCCCAGCGCCGCCACGTCTTCGCAGGGGCTCAGAGGGCTGTTGAGGCTGCACGCCCCGGCGCCGGTCGAGCGTTGCGGGGGAGCGAGTCTCATACCGCAGCGTTCCTCCTCCATCTTGATGCTTCTCGTCGTCTCCCCTTTCTCCTCTCCTCGCGGAACGAGCGAGCGAACAGGCGAAGCGGTGAGCAGGCAGTGCGTCACGCTCGGGGCGGTGCGGTGCAGTGTGGGGCGGTGCTGCTGCTGCTGATGATGATGCTGCTGCTGTTTGCTGCTGGTAGTGGTGCTGCTGTGATTGCTGTCACTGCCGTGCAGGGTGTTGTGGGGTAATGGTGGAGTACAGTGCGGTGGTGTGGGGTAATGCTTTGCAGTGCAGGGTAGGGTGGTTATCATCACTATCGGATGTGATCAATGCAACGCCCCCATCCCCCCACACCTTGCAAAGACGTTGCCGTCTCTCACGTGGTGTTTCTGGATGGTTCTGCACTGCAGTTTAATGCATTACAGTGCATTGTGCTTTGTTAAACCGGTGTGAATATTGTGTGATTAGACATTGAGAGCGAGTGTGTAAGTGCAGTGCACGACATTGCGCTTAGAACTGCGCAGATCATTGCCAGTGGCTGGACAGACCAGTGGTATGTAATGCTAGTACTGTACTAGTGTAGTTTCGTGTGTTTTAATTTTTCAGTACAGGTAATAGCGGCGCTTTGCAGTGATTTTAAGCGCAGTTAAATGCAATCATATTGTCGTGTTAGGGGGATGGTGCATTGCAGTGTTGTAGGCAGGGCTTCATTTGAGTCGGAGCTGTCCGGGACTCAGTTCCGGAAACTATTCCCCCCCCCCACCCCACGCTATAGGGGAAGGGGCGACGGGGGTGACCGGGTTTGGTTTGGGGTTGGTTGGTTCTGGAAAATTTTAAATGTTAAATTAAGCGCCGAGTGTCGGGTACCTGCGTTTTAGCGTGATGCAATGCAGGAGGCCCTACAATAAAGAGAGTGGTATTGGATGCCATGCGAGAACTCATTCTGCCCTGGCTGCCCTGGATTATCCCTGGGGCTCATGGTTGTTGGTGCTGGGTCCTGCCGTGGTATTTCTGCTGCTTGTTTCTCTGCATTGACCACACAACCCAACGTTTACCCCATATCATAGTGGAAAAAGCGTGTTAATATGCGACTGCATCTAGAGAGGCTATATAAAATGAAATCACGAGTCTCGTTGTATGCTGTTGAATTGTGGGTTGGCTGTAAAGCTTTGCCGTGATATGCAGTGCGGATGATTGTGTTTGGTTGTGCAAGTCAGGTACATTACAGTTTTTTTATGGCACCCGTATTGAAGAAGCTACGCTGCTGACTTAACCCAGTACACTCCTGCATACTGTAATATTAAATACACTGCCACAAGCGATGGTGGTTTTAGAACCTTCAAAAACCTAAATGAATGCGCCGCAGTCTCGCGCCAATTAATTTGGCATTTTGCGTTACCAATAATTACTGCGTGACTCTGCCAAGATTTCTAAAGCATTTCACTCGGATTTAACACGCAGGCTCTCGCAACCAATATGATTCATAATTGAGTTTGTGTTGGATTTAATAACTAAAATACGTCGTATACCCTCCTCTACGCGACGTAGACAATTAATAAAGTTGTCACGTGAACACACGTGCCAATCAGTATCACTGCGTAGATGTCAACCCATACAGTTTACCCGTATTATTGTACAGGGAAATTGAGTTTCCAGGTCCATACGGCGCACAGTCCTTGCCATAAGGGCAACATGTTTTATATTTGTTTGTTTCCCCCTTGGGATGGGACTTTATAGGATGAACACTGAGATTTATAAGGGCACGGGGTGACCAATAAGGTCTGAATTGGCCTGCAATAAGGTAGGCACTCGGGGCTTGAAATGTATGTTATTGCTTCAGCAACATGTATGTTGGAGAGGGATCCACAAAATTAACAATCGAGTACGACGTTCCGGGTGTACGACACACATGACTACGTTTTGTTTGACCATATTTCACCTTGCTGGTCCGCTCTGGTTGGTGAAGGGGTTGTTCTAGAACTTTTTTCCGACATCACTCACCACTGTGACGTTAGCCATGGCTCAGATTTCAGGATTAATTGTGCAGTACCCTGACCAGTCAACACTGAGTCGTTTTAATAAGGCGCATTTTATCGCCAGACACATTTGAAATAACAAAAAGTATATCCAATTTTGCCACCCAATTGCTAATTGTGTGTTTTCATCTGGCTCTGTGACCTCTCATTACCGCAAGATTCCCCCCTCCAGAATTCAAGCCCTGCCTATCAATTGGTCTTGTGTGTCACAGCCAATGCTGGTGTTAATTTACTGCAAAGCTATTTAATGGCTTTGTTTATGATTTCAGATACACAAACCTACCATTGGAATCATGTAAATATCGCTATTAACCAGCCAAAATGTTACGAGATAATTTCACAAATACACATCCTTTGCTACTCACCTGATATGAACCACAGTAGCTCTCTGTAACCTGAATAATGATAATATTATTATAATATGACTAAGCAATGATAAATAATGAACGGTGAGCATAGCTGTGTATGATTCAGAATTGCAGTAACAGCATGGTAGTTAATGGACACTTCCAGATTACCGTGGGAAGGTGAATTTGGAATGATTTATAACGTTGTGGGCGTAACTTAAGTATGCAGCAATTGCAGATAAGTATATGCGGGTGTACAATTTAATTTTAACCACCGGCAACATATCTGTTGAACTACAGCTCGCATCACCATCTAACATCTTAATCCGCTAGGTGCCATCTGTGCTGTACCCCATTTGTCCAAGTGACCTGCTTCATTTGGCCATATGTAAATTAGTTTGGTGACATCTGACCTACTGGTGTGTTTGGACCACGAATAGCATGTTCCCTAATCTCTTTATTGGAGATTCATCCATTGCATCATCTCCATCTTGGGTATCTTTCAGCACAGGCGCAGCACTTGCCATGCCAGTTGAACAGAGGCTGTTCGTGCAGGAGGGGATGCCTGTAGAGTAATGCGAACGCCTTCCACATCGATCGCACGTCACCGATGTGAGTATCGCTGCTCAGGGCTGGCCATGAGCTGGAGCGGAACACCGTTCAGAATTTCTCTGTGTCAACCCCCCGAGCAAGTATTTACAATGTTGATCGTCATTCCAAAAAAATCCATTTTAAGTTATCATTCTTTCTGTGATATATTTGGACTAATCTTCTGAAGAAGGGTGATTTACATATCAACATATATATATTATGCAATGATAATGTAATGTATTTATCCGGTAAGCCTCTTTTAGTTATATACTATTTCTGATCTGGGTCCTGCTTTGAAATGTTAAGTTAAATTCTATTAAGGGAATTGTATGCATGTGGGAGGAAACCAGAGTACAGTACTAGGGGAAACCCCATACATATATTTTTTTAAATGCTCCAAGGTATACATAGATGAGTTTGCAAACTCACTCGCTGTACTGCTTTGTCCTATCCAGCGCACAGCTCAATGACTTTGGGAGCTTCACAGATCACAGGAGTGCGCCACCACAACCAACTGAGACAAGATTTCCTCTCGCAATTAAGCAGCAGTGTGTTAATTATGATGGCAATACTGTAATAAATGTAAGCATACTTAAAAAAAATGACGGGATTGTGGAAATAACTTCTTTAACGTATTGGCATAAGCTGTGTGTCATCAGAGGACATTGTCTCAAAGGATATACACTTGAACCTCCCCCACATGGACCCGCACCTCCCAGCTTTGAACAATATCGCACAGGTGCACAATGCATCGAGTGACCTCAAAAGCCTCGGCACAGATTTATCTCGCCTCGATCACACGTCAGTCCAGTGCATTTCCCCCATTTATAGTGGCAGGGCATTGCAGAGCTGTATCGACATCATGGCTTGCAAGAGCCCACTAGTTTTTTTTTTTATGAGGCCTGATGCACAGCGTTTTTAATAGCAAAGCACTCACAGCGTTTGGGGGTCTGGGGAAAACAACGTCAAATGAAAAGGGGGAGGGTCCAGGCATTTGTAGCTTTGTGTGAGGTTTGAGAGATGGGGAGCTGGGAATATGTCAGGGCGGGGGGGGGGGTGGCGGGCATCGTAGTGGATACTGGGGGGGGAACTAAGCCCTCGCGGTGTCTCACCTCCACAGCAGGACAGCGAAACATCCGCAAACTTCCCCCTTGGAGAGACCTCGTTTGAAAGCCGCTTCGCTTCCAATGTCAATCCCGAGGCCCCATGCGACATCCTTGCATGTTCAATCAAGGTGGCGTCGCACACTAATTGGCGCTGACCTCCTTTAAGTTGCTGTACTTTCCCTGCGATGCTGTAACGTAAAAATGAACGCAGAGTAAATGTTAAAATCCAGTCTCGTCGTGCCACAGCTATACCTAATGCATGAAATGTATTATCAAGTGCAACCCTCTACTGAAGGTCATTTCACAGCATGATGTAGCCCCCAACACTATTATCAGCCGCTTCATTACCACACACGTCCTCGCTCTATTTGCAGGCACGTCTTACTAAGCAGACAGCAATAACGGCGATCCGTCACACTCACGTAAATGCGGGGAATGCGATAATCCTGGAATTGACGGAACAAGAAGGACGGTGGCAGTGAGACGTGTGTGGGATTCGCCACGGTGGGAGTCTGCGATGTGCTGCTGCTGCCGCTGCGATAAGGCGTGCACGCTGGCGACCGTAGACACTTTCCGGTCGTACGGCCACAGGGGGCATATTCATGTGAGCTCGCCGGCGCATCCTGCCAGTGGTGTGGTTATCGAGGGTGCAGGCGGTGCAGCGATGTTTTCTTTACCGAGAGAACAAAAGTGCATGTGCTTGTGGTGACAGGATGATTAAGGTGAGACGGGTTTCACCGAAGTCCTTCCCTGAAGCCATAAGAACACACGGCTACCTGTTTAATGTTCAGTGGCCTCTACCATCTTTCGTAAGGGCAGATGAGTCTGGTATTCTCGGTGACAAAATGTGATTTTGTTGTCGTGACGTTACGAAGAGTCTCACCTGAGTTTGACCGATTTATGTTGCCACGTGTCATGAGGGGGCCACTTGTCATCAGGGGACCCTCTGTTGGTGGGCTGCTGAAAAAAATATATATAACACAAATGAAATCACTCTGCCGAAAAGGAAAAAATGAGGTATTTTTTAATGATTTCATAAATTACATCGCCGCGCCACTTGGTAGGTGGGTGGGGGAAAAACAGCAGTCATATTTTTTTTTCTTCAATAAAACCAAAGTGTGATATTAACATTTATAATTGGTTGTTCACGTGACGAGAGCTTTTTGTTAGACAA